GACTGACGTTTATTTTTTATATAAAAAAAACCTACTAGCCGTAAGCTTAGGGAGTCAAACGTGTATGATTCGCGACATAAACTATTCGCTATGATATGGTATTCACTTTACCACTTTTTACGATCTATTCCCCTTTTATGGATTTGTATTGATCAAAGTGCATAGAAATTTGAACGTAAACAAATCAATGTCAGACTCTAGTCAGTCAACTGAATAACATTACATAAATGTCAACCGATTTCGTTTGAGAGTCGAAAGATTCGACAATACCTTTGAAAAATCTTACAGTTTAATTAGAGACAAAGCTAAACAACAAGAAAAGGAAAAAATTCGTATCTGACCTAGCCTGAAAGTAGACAACGTTTATTGTTTGCACATACCTCAATTGATTGCAAACAATCAAGTTTATTCTAAATTAAGGTACAAAGAAACAGCATAATATCAACAGTTATACACGATCTACTTTTAATTTTGTTTATAAAAACACATTGATTGTTATGCAGCCTAGTTTTAAAAAAAGACATTGATAAACTCCATTCAGTCATAATTTTTTATTCGTTTTACAACTGTATAGTGTGTTAGAAATCATATAACAGCAATCTTTGTCGATGAGTTAATAAACGTGCGAAATTTGAAAAATGTAAAAAGAAGATTAAAAAACGTGTAACTGATGCAGCCATTAGATGAAAATAGAACAGAAGTAGATTCAAGGCATTAACACATGAAATGAAGATGTAAAAATAAGTCACCACCAAAATTAATTTTCTTTTCAATAGTGAATTATTAGCATGTCGCTTAAGTAAATCAGTCAGTCAGCTACAACGTAGGACCAAGCACATATATACATCGGTCCAGGTTGCCATACCGCATTAGCACAGCAAGATGAACACCGGATTCATAGGAGTGGTTAACTCAATCGTGGTAGTATATAAAAGAAAGATTGCAATAAGGATATAGTACAGGAACAAAGAATTAGTTCGTAGAAAGAAAGATATGAAGCGATTTTAATCTCATAGTTAAAAGGATGAAAGACAGTGTATACACCTACGCCATTGTGATCGATTCTGAGCCACGTCACCAAGAGTCTCCAACCATTGGTTACGATAGTCACACGGACACCAACCAAGTAGTCTGCATCTACCAACATGGCTCAGACTACAAGTTAGTGACTTCAAGCACTGATGCCACGTTTTGGTTTGGCCGCCCCTAACTTTCTTCCAACCATCTCCAGCACCGGTTAGCATTGCACGTCGTGGTAATCGGTGTTCAGGCATACGTAACACGTGGCCCAACCATCTCAGTCGATGAAGATTCATAACCTCATCAACTGATTTACCATCATTTCCTAATACCCTGCGTCTAACCTCACTATTATTTACTCGGTGATCCCAGCAGACGCCAGCAATATTTCTAAGGCATCTGTGGTCAAATACTAATAGATTACGAGTGTCTTCTACTCTTAATGGCCATGTTTCGCTGCCGTAAATTAAAACAGAACGGACTGCCGCGCAGTATACTCGTCCTTTTATTGATAGACGGATATCTCGTCTTCGCCATAGGTGACGTAAGTTGGCAAAAGCCAAGCGGGCTTTTCGAATCCGTGCTGAGATTTCGTCAGACACCAAACCATTAAGGTTGATCAGACTTCCAAGATAAAAGAAGGTGTCAAGGTATTCGACTACTTCACTCCCTATCCTTAGTTCAGGTGTTGACGCAGACCAGTCCTGAAGCAACAACTTGCATTTAGAGGGAGAGAAGCGCATTCCAAACATTCTGGCATTGTTGCTCAGTGCTACCAAAACACTCTGCATTTTATCAGCGTCTTCACCAAACAGGACTATATCATCTACGTATTCTAAGTCGATAAGTGGACCTCCTGGAAGGAGATCAATACCCGAGAATTCAGTAGACGAGAATGTTATTTCCATCAATAGGTCTATGATGAAGTTAAACGAAAATGGAGAAAGTGGACAGCCTTGACGGACACCACTTGAGGTTGCAAAAGCAGATGACAGTTCGCCATAAGCTCTGACTCGACTAGTAGTGTTCGAGTAAAGAGCCTTCACAAGGTTTATGTACTTCTGAGGTACGCCTTTCAATGACAGACACTGCCACAGAATCTCGCGGTCTACAGAGTCAAATGCTGCTTTTAAGTCAAGAAAGACCACCACTGTCGGACGCTGATAAGCATGCCTATGTTCTAGAACCTGACGAATGGTGAATATGTGGTCGATGCAGCCACGACCAGGTCTGAAGCCAGCTTGATTCTCTCGTGTTTGCAGTTCACGAGTCTTAGTTAGGCGTCTGATAATTATCGAGGCTAGTATTTTAGATACTATATTAGTTAAACTAATCCCTCTATGGTTGTCACAGGATGATTTTGACCCTTTCTTATATATTGGGACGATAAGTGATTGTGACCAGTCAGATAGGATAACGTCTAACTCCCAGATCTTAGCTAAAATATTAGTCAACCTAATCGCTAAAATTGGACCACCATCCTTAAAGACCTCTGGAGTCAATCCATCTGGACCAGCTGCCCTTCCTCGTTTCAGATTAGCTATAGCCTTTTGAACTTCTGCTAGAGTTGGGGGACCTACTTCAATGTTCCATTCACACTGTCTGGGAATGGAGGGTAGTTGTAGAGTAGCTGAAGGCCAGTTGAACTGTTCTCTGAAATGTTCCACCCATCGTTCTAAAGTTTTGGACTGGACCTATCTGGGTATTACAGTAACCTACTACGAGTAATATGTCTGAACGTTTAGCCTTCTGAAGTAGTTCAGAGAGCTCTCTGTAAAATTCATCTTTCACTTCATCTGAGCTGCAGTCGGTGGGAGCGTAGGCAGAAACGACAAAAAGGCAACGACGTGTGTCCCTATCCTTCCGAGCTCTCACGGAGCCGTTTAGCCGAAGAGCATATAAACGACTGTTAGCGGGATCCACTCTAACAGTGCTTGTTCCGTCCTCATGCTTAGTGCTATCCCTACTCCTGCCAGTCCACGAGAACTAGCCATCAGGTAGCCAGACAAATGGAGGGTGTATCTCGTTGGCTCTCCGTTTCAGAGAGGTGAGGTTAAGTGAATGACCACACTAGGATCCTAAATGCGTGTTTCAGAGACACAGTATAAATCAATGGTAAGAGATTTTAGGGTTTTTGCCAAGGAAGCATGCTAGCCGATTTGACTGAGGGTACAAACGTTGAAGGCTCTAATGTATAGTTTGGAGCGAGGTTTCAGTAGACTTGGGACAGTGTTTTGCACACTAAAATCGTTGGTCATAGTGACACTTGAGGAGGAAGCCAAAAAGGAAGTTTAGAGTTGAAAGTCGACATAGAAGGAATAATAATAATAATTCAAGAGGGAGATTGACTATGAATATAGTGATCTTGAGTGCTGTTAGAGGTATGAGGGCGGTTATCACTTCCCAGTTGCCCACACCGTGGAAGGGTTCTTCTGAAGGTACCTGAAAAGGAAATTGGATTAGAGGTGGTCTTAGTGATCTGACAGCGTGACCCCAGTGCCCAAGGGACAACTGCTTGAGGTCGGTCACACACGACCTTTGTATGGGTCATTTTTGTGTTAGCTCCGTACTTGTTGAGACTTTACCGCCGGAGACGGATATCCGTGGGATGAGGCGAGGTGTGCATTTTTAGAGTGGACCTTTTCTAACCCCACCCATCCTTGTGGGAAGGCAGCATCGCTGTCATGCTGGTTGTCTGAAGGAAACACCTAACTACTGTCACACCTCTGTACAGTCAGCAGTACAACTTCGCCTTCGGACCTTGGGTTTGTTGCTTTTAGTCTTAGCGCTCTTCAGCTGACCTGTCTGAAACGGTAGGACCTTGAGGAACGGTTTTTACAGCCAGTATAGCTCGGTTGCTTCATCACGATAGGCAGGCCCAACCACCACGTTAAGGTAGCAACAACGGTCGGGGCATGTCGCTTAAGGGTACAACTGGATAGAAATTTCGAGTCAATTGCAGAATTAATCTTAAAAATTAATGCACAATAACTTAATAAAATATGGCGTTTCATAATATCATAAAACTAAAGATAGTCATATAAAACATTTAATGCACGTACAAAAAGTGATCAATCATCGATGTCACTTGCAGGACCTTTGTAAACTAAAGAATAATAAACAAGCATCTGACCATAGTTAAAATCTAATCAAATGTGTGAACCTGGAACTTCCAGGTCAGGCAGCAACCATACTGCCATTGAAAGCCACTGAACTAGCTTACATTTTTAAATTCAGTCAATTCGTGACCCCCCCCCACATCATGTTTGACCCACGAGTTGCAATCTCACTAAACCATCCGTTTGAATGATTTCATAGATCACGGTCGAAACTTTAAGAAGCCAATTCTCAAACTATTCACTATTGACTACATGGTTCCTATTTACTGAATTTATTGCGTGGATATAGATTTGACGTTAGTTTATGGTGAAAATCATATTCGAATTGTATGCCATTTCCACAAAACCAATTTGGTAAATAAAATTGGTTTATTAAAGTCGATGCCAACTCATTAGGGTTGCACAAAGATGGAGAGTTTCAATCAGGAAGAATTTTCACAGAATTGATAGTTAGCCACAACTTTAAGTGAATTTAAAAATATGCACAGGGGAACTTTGTGGGTTTTGTACAACGATAAGTTTCTTAAAATTTAATGAAAAATGGAACTTGCTCAACTAATCAGGTGAACATGTGAAGTATTTGTTTTTATGATCAAAGATCCTCAAAAAATCAGTCACCTAAATTCAAAGTATTTTTAAAGTATACTCATTATTCTTCGTTCAATCCTTGATTAACCTGAGAATAGTGGAACAGTACAACAAAAGCATAAACAGCTTTCAGATTGCAATTATTCTGCGATTGTCCAACTAATGTTTGTTCATTCACATAAAAGTTCCCAAAGTTATTTTTTGATAACAAAAAGAATATCACCTCAATGTCTAGAAAACGTGTAATGATAAAAAAAGAACGGCTAAACTCACTTTAGAACCTATATGAATTAAAGACTTTGAATTTCGATTAGTTGATTGAGTGGCACGCTTTGTACGACTGCCTAATTCTTGTCGACCAGAATTTACTAACAAATTATGTCCAGTTATCCTATCGAATATATCATAATGTATAATGGTTGGCATTGTGTTGTGACGCATAAATACACCAACTGATGAGGCTAACGAAGATACTGTAATATTATAGCGTATATAACGCGCTGTGGGCATATGCCATTGACCTGACCATGATTTCATTGGCTCTAGAACAATATTTACAGGCTTATTTGCTTCTAAAATATATGGAGGTGAGTTAGGATCAAAAAGACCTGCAAAGGATGAAGAAAGGCAAGAAAACAAAAATAACAGATGAATAACGTGATTTACAAATAAACAAATATCATTAAATACGAGAACAACAAAACCCTTATAATACGACGTTAACTCATATATTGACGACAAACAATTAGCCAACTAATTTATCAAATTTTATTCTCTTGGAGCAATATAAATCATTTATAAAATTCTATATAAAATAGCTCATATAAAGAACCCATAAGAGAAAAAAATAAACAAAGCAACAAGCCGAGCTTTGTTTTAGGATTAATGGTAGTATTATGTTGACGTAGTTTTGTCGAGTGGAACACTGTTCTAATCTAGTGGCTAGTTGGCTGAAAGTTAATTACTTGAACCAATAAGCCATAGCTTTATACACCAAAAATCCAGTAATATATACTGTACACACGAAAATACTTATGCGTATTACATCGAGTTTCTGTGACATAAAAATTGACTTTTCAGAATGCCATTTTTATAAATGAATAAATAAATCTTATACCACGCATCAAGATATTGGAACGAGTATTTGATAGGTTGTTTATTTCAAGATTATTGTAATGCATCTATATGCACCTCTGACAGTATGTTCAGAAAATAGCTACTGGTTTTTCAAGCTGATAATAAATATATAATCGTCCTTATATCGCTATCAACGCTCTAATGTTGTGCAGAGGAATGCCGGCAGTTTATTCGTTTGTTATTAATTCTCCTTTGTTGATCTACAGTCGATCTAATGCTGAAATCGTCATAATTAGCCAAGCAACTTGGCGTTATGTTTCACAGTAACTGGAGACTGACAAACACACAAACCTTCATGTAGAATCTTTTGCTGTTTGTCTCAAAATATCTAACATTGGACAAGTTTAAAGCAGTTGAATTTTTCGAATAATTTAAATATAACTAGTAAGTTACGATGATAAACACGAGTATCATTCACTAGATACAACTTGTGAACTAAATAGACTGCTAAACAGATTGAACAATAATACAGGATAACAGTGAACAGGGTTTTACAGAAGATATACAACTATCAATGGTTCGAAAAAACTAATATATATATATATATATATATATATATATATATATATATATATTCGTTTGCAATAAATGAATACGATGGCGTTTATATTGTAAGTGTAGAAGAAGAGCGTATCATCACAATTCTAGCAAGAAAAGGTGCTAAAAAGCCTTTAAGAAAATAACTGAAGGAAAGTGAAAAGAAAGAGGAGAATTGAGAGAAAATTCGGAATAAAAAAGGAGTGGATTTTCATAAATCTCAGAAAGAATTTTCCTTACAATTAAGCAATGGCAATTACCATTATTACGGTAATTAGACAATAAATACAACTATGATAGATGCCAAATATTTAAAAAACGAAACAGCTTACACCTTTAATGTCAACTATATTTTGCTCTAAAAAAGCAATATATGTTTTTAATCCCATACAATCTGCTTTACAATCAGTAACTTGGTTCAATGGAATAAGAATACCACCGATGAATTTTCATCTAGTGATCGGACTGAATCCGACCACATAAACGATAAAAGTTTTTCACAAGGTTCCTAACTTTATAGTACATATGCAGTTAATCAAAGAATTGAATGTTAAGGCACATCTGTGACGTTAAAGAAATATTGCTTCAGGACTCTGAATTTGTATTTTGCAACAACTAGATTTACCAGAGATAAGCCTGAATGTTAGTCGATGTTCGGGAAAACTGAATTGATTACACTCATGGAATAAAAGCAGTTTTCATTCAATCTAGTGCTCATCAAATTCCATAAAACACATCTATGAAATAAAATGATCAGCAGACGATCAGTAGCAATCCTTAAAAATGAACTTCTTCAACATACATATGTTATCACTCAATAAAACAATACTGGTTTCTTTCAGTCAACTGCTTAGTAGATCCCAAAACAATTCAACATTCTGCTTGACAAATATTCCATTATATATGTTTATTGTTTACCTATACTAACATTTGTGATGTCGATGTGTGTACCTCAAAAACGCAGATTAATAGGCTGTATCACACAATTATATTAACTCTGAACAACTTGAAATAGAATAGTACCAATAAATGTGATCTAAATAACCGAAGATTGTTAAATTTTACTGCCAATAGAACAATACGGTCAATATTTCTCGTGTAGACTATCGATGGAGAGCGTACGTAATAAATATTATAAAGTATACATTTATTACCGGTAAAAATTAATTAGTAAGAAAATTTGCACGTTTGTAATGCAGTACGAAATACCTGCACAAAAATTACATCATTTGCATGATAAAACTATTGAATCGGATAACACTGAATGCTGAATCCCTCTTTTCATATCAGAGTGTAACAAAAACACCAAAGGTCAATCGTAAGAGAAGCCTATATTATCGAATACAGAACTAAATTATGCTTAACACTTCAATGGCTCATTTTTTTGACGAGTAAAATTACTTAACTTTTATATTCGAATTCCTGGGTACGATATTAGTCAGCTGATTAATGTGATATATTTATATAGGAGAGATTGAGGTACGATATTTGTGTGAAGCATAGTAATGCCTGCTTCCCCAAAGTGAAGGGTTCGAAGTCGGTATATTCATTAAAATCCGAATGCTTTAGCAACAAAGTCGTCACATAACAAAATTATTTACCTTCTATCAATTTATCCGTATGTAAAATCCAATTGAAAATGATGACGCCACAACTCGAATAGTTTGAAGGAAACTGAATGGGGATTCGAATTTCTAAAAAACGTCAGTTTTATTAATGTTGCTGACGTGTTTCCTTTAATCCCCATATCAAGTAAAAACAAACTACACTGTGAACTCGAGTCAGTACAGTGGATCAATCAATAAATTACGATAAGCATCTGGAACATGATCTTGAAGCTCATTAACATTCTATAAACACTGTAATATCAACCATTTATAAACATTAAAACAAAGTACTTTAACATCCATAACTTGACAGCTCTCATCTAATTCTGAAGTAAATTTATAAACTACGAAGCACAATATTGAACACATTTATTTTTGTAAAACTAATAGTAAGCTTTATCTAAAAGGGAATGAAAGTCCATTTATGAATGACTCATTAAATTTACACATTCTGTTTTTCCTTCAACCATTTCAATATCCATGCGAAAACATGACAAATTAAGGAGTAAGAAGTTAGTATGACACATGTACTGAAAGTAAGTTGTAATAATAACAACAATACCATAGATACACAACACACATGTCAAAAAGTTAGATTATCGACTAAAAGAGAAAGGGAGAGATAAGAATAAAACTGGAAAAATAAACAGCATCTTCATCAGTCTACATAAAGTCAATTTAACAGTTTTTACAGTATTAAACTTGATAGAAGCGTGATTCCTATAATATTACATTGAACCTGACGCAATTGATTAGTGTACACTGGTAATACAATGTCATGAATGGATATTAAATTTATTAGACGGGGATTAAGGAAGTATGGTAAGAAATTGCCGTTGATGGAACTATATAATCATAATGAGTTACTCTACAGATGACTTCAAAGTTAATCAGTAGGTACATAAACAAGTACAGATAGATAAGTTTAGCGTAAATATCGATGAACAACAACATGCCTCATCAGCACTGATTCAGATAACAAGTAAAAATGGAAATCTCTTTGTTGATGATTGAAGAAATGAATTCGTCAGTACTTTTTAGTATTTGAGCTCATTGAATGGACAAGTCGAACATTTATAAATGTAATGAGATTTAATAACAAGTGATATCCGTCAAACATGATGTGACTACTGTATATCGGTAGTTCCATGAATAATCCTATGGTGTTTGGGGATATAGATATTGCAAGCAGGTTTCAACAAGAATATGTATTGAAAGGCAAGCCCATTAAAATGCTGAGTACTGAAAAGGATGGAATGAACATCCATGATAAAATTACTAACTTTTATCAACCGTAAACAACAAGAATGCTAGAGAAATAAAGTTGAGATCGATCTGTGATCATGAGGCACATGGAAATAGAGGAGAATAAGTTATTAAAACAGTTAATCGGATATGCATTATTGTGAATACTGTCACACATTCACAATAACGGTCGTACTCAACTGGTTTGCTTAGTTGATGAAAAAATCTCTAAGCTCATTACTTTTCAAAATTAATATTGAGAGTCAAATTTAGGCTATCAATTAAACTATCTTAAGTGAATAGCTTAGAACTCTGTAAGTTCCTGTCTAAACAATTAATGTTCTTCATCATAAAACACTACTATATAATGACTAAAAACTGCCAAATAATTTGATACAGTCTAAAATATTAACAATATCGTTTCAAAACTCATTACCTATAATCGCAGGATCTTGAGCGAATCGTTCTTGTAACCGATGGTCTAAACGTTTCTTCTCCTCTGGAAAAATGTTATTTTTAAAGAAAAAAAGATTAAATAAATACTTATTTATGGATTTTACAGCATAAGAATAGAAGAACAAAGTTATTAAAGTTTCTCAGTAATGGAAATCACAAATTCGGAATTGTCAGGTGAGCTGAAGAATGAATAAATTAGATCCTCAGTCAGCGTATAAGTGAACATTTGAGATATGTTCTTCAGAATTTTTCAGAAATACTATTATACTAATATTTAATTTTTTCAGTTGTCTTGAAATAGTTGGCTCAAATGACTAGTTAGTATATAAATTGCGACGCTTTTGACATAATTTCATACTACCGGTAAATTTTGCCATTTCCCCTTTGTAACCAACTATATTGTATCTCAACGTCATGGTTCAGGTGTTACTGTTAAGTTATCCAAGTCACAATTGACCTCCATTAAGAATGATTCAATTAAGAGAAAACAATCCAGTATTTCATATTGACATCTGTCAATATGAAATATGCCTAGGATGCTGATTAACAGATTCTTTAGAATACAAAACAAAATACTTGTTGACCTGACAAACAGGTTAACATTATACACAAGGTCATAGTAATATATGGAATAGTAAGGTCAATCAGCACAAAGGAATAGATTGGTTAAAAATAAAAATAATGAGTCATCTACATTATCGGGGGTTTAGTCAATGGAGTCGTTGAATTCAGAAATCTCTTTTAATAGATTAACAAAGATTTTCAACTATGTTCTAATTGTTAATACAAAAGACTAAGAGAATTAATTCTCGAGGGAAATATTTTATATTTCTTAATCTAAGTTGAATCAAAGTTACCATTTAAAGCGTAGAATCCACGACTGGAATAAAATGACCAAATATAACATAATCACACCGAATGATCACTCAGTAGTAACAAATATCATGTTTATCCAGTTCTTAGTGCAACTTTGACTCAACCGACCATTGCAATATCACTACTAATTAACAAGCATATGCCTATTTGTTAATCAATCGACGTGAGAAATCTCAATAGCATAAGTGGGGGTCCCCACAAGGTTGAGGATACATCTTGCTCGTGAGTGGCAAATGGGATGAGACTTTGGTTTAAGTTCGACCTTCGATCGCCACCAACCCAATTAAGAAATAGAACCGATTATTCAGTATCACAGGTATTTCTTAGGAAAATGATGTTAAGACTACAAATAGTGCTTGGATTTACATTGTCGACAATATGGTGTACTGCAGCAAATAAACAAAGTTATTAAAAATAACCAAACATAAACTACTAGTACTTGGTTTTTAGTCTGAGACTATTTAAACATTACGTGGTTGCACTGCTAAGTTGACATTAATTTCATCAGAGGTGCACCCGTATTGATGCAAATCAAATTACTGAACTGTTGATATATAAGGACCAAAAATTACACAGTTCAAGGAGCTGGATCAAAAAGAGGTGTATCACAAAGAATAAAAACGACTGTCCTGTGTTTCAAAATTGCAATTTGGTTAACTGAATGTGAATATCGCCGTTGTATTTAAAAATCCGTGTTATCTAATCCCATGTCGTGAAGTTTGTTGACTAACTTTGCCGTTTTTTCAAAGTCGAAATTCATGTCGAATTTCAAAATGAGAAGTACAAATCTGGTATTAGTTTAAGAAATATCACTATTCACAACACATATTAAGGCCGCAGAATCAGAAATTTATAGGGAAAGATGAATAGTTTTCTATCACTCATATATTTTAATACTTAGACAATACGAACAAGAGAGACAGACATGTTTCGTCTTATAATTACGAGAAATAGTTTATTAAAAAGTTGCCCAAAAAATCAAATCCAGTTCACAATTACTTACTGAAACTCAGTAGTTAAACTATACTTCTAAATGCCATTTCAGAACTGGTCTGCATCAATACCTAAACTAATGATAGGGAGTGAAATAGATCAGTACGTTAACCGTTTCACTTATCTGGGAAATCTCATCACGCAATAATATAGCTTAATTGGCTTTTGCTAACTCGTGTTACTTGTGGAGCAGATGAAATACCTGTCTTTCAACCAAAGGGCCTGTATGTTTTACAGTAGTGTGATGACGTTATAGAGGTGAAAAATGGTCCATGAAAGTAGAAGACACGTTAGCTGTAGGTTTTTGATTGAGAATTTTCATGTAGGTTGTTACATAGATTGTCACTAAAATCAGTCATTAACACGTATATATATATATATATATATATATATATATATATATCATACACTAAAATGTTTCAGTAGAATGACTGCCTGTATTACATATATCATTCTTACCTGAAAAGGATACAGCCAGTACAAGTGCGAGAAGGAAGGCTAATATCAATATACTAATAATCCAGTAATACCATGGACAATGGCGTTTAGATTTTCTTTCAACAACAACCACTGAATCTGAATGAGACTTTGATTTGGCACGTAAAGCATCATTTGTAGTGGAATAAGTTGGTTCAATACTTCTAGTAGAGTCAATTAGCCCGGAATTATTTGAACGACCCTGTTGTTGCTGTGATTGTTGTACGGAAGATATAAACGTTTGGACTAGTGGAGGAGCTGTGTTATTATCATGCCCAATCGTACCATTCATGATTGATACATTTTGTGAATGCCCTATATAAATTGCATCATTCGGATTTGATCCATTAGTAGAAATAAATGATTGTAAACCGGGTTGACATAGAGATGAGTCAGGCAGAACACTGTTTGTCAAAAGTCTAAGAAGACAAAAGTAGAGGAATCGTAAAGTATTTTTACAGAGAAGAAAACCATACAAAAAAATGTGGAGAATATTGTTTTGGACAAAAAATATGTATATTTTAAGGAGCTATAATTGTCAGAATGATGTGAAAAGCCATGGGAAAATAAAACACATTTCCAGTTATTATAAACAATATGAACTAGTCGTAATCTAAAATAACTACCAAAACTGGCGAAAACACTATGAAATTTCTAAATATTCATTTTTCAACTGAAGATTTCCTGTCTAGGTTATATGATGACAAAAATGAGAAGGTAGATGCAGGATTAAGCAAGTTTTAAGGTCCCTATGACACAGTAATGATAACAATAAAAATAGTGATTATGGGCATAATGGAAACTCAACAAAAAAACATATACCAAAACTTTTATACAATAATGATAGTAATTATTATAAATCAAAGAACATTGTCTCCCGGCGGGATAGAAAGTATGACATGAAATTTTGAAAAGCCACAATGACATAATTGTTATATACAATAACCATGTATGACTTATTGACCGTATTCTGAATTCAAGCAGGGCATGGTTTAATTATACTATGATCAAGGTGGACACATCCCATATTAACACAGTCAAAGGAGATTAGAGCGAAAAAGAGTACACCAACAAAAAAACAATACTGAGGGAAAAACGAAAGATAGAAGGAAAAGAAAATAAAGGGGATTAAATAATCGTGGATAAGATTTTGTGTTTATTGAAATTTTATCATATCAAACAATACTGGAAATTATTTTATTTTAAAAAAGGATAAATGTAGTTCCGATGAAAGTCACAGTCCGTAATAATACAGAAATGACATCTTTTCATATATTTCTATGCCAAAAGATTCAGAGTACATGAGATACTTGAGTTGATTAGTATAGTTAAATTTTGGTCAACTTTATTTAAAGAGATTTTACAAAAGGATATAGAGATACGTAAGAAATTTGACGAACCTTTTACAGATGAGGTGACATTTTTGAGTTTTGTGACCTCTAGTAAATGTTTTCCCTTTCTTTGTTTAACTCCGTCATCGTATCGATATGAATGTTATATCATATTTTATATGCCAAAGTTACACTTTCAATGTTAAATATTTCGTAGTCACATTCCTCTGAACTTTCTCTCAAACTTATTTCGTTGTCAAAAAGGACGCTCAAGCAAATTAAAAAGTTATTCCCACTAGGTAAATTCGTAAGGCTATAGTCTACACACATTCATAAACATGTCTCGGCGTCAGTAACATTGTGGTGTGTGCTACTTAAGTTGGCAGATATAAGTAATATGTAGCAAGTGGAATGAATGCCAGCAGACGATTGAGAGGAGTGAATTGAAGAGGATAGAAAGGGAAAGAGAATTGGGATAACAACCAAATCTAAAGAATCATGAAGCGTGTAAAAGACAACTGATGGAAGATGTGCAAATAATGCATTTAATGTATGATTTTCATATTTTACGAAAGCACTGTAATTTGGCATTAAGTGACAAATCGGACTTCTCCACCAAATTCTTGATCACTACAATATGACTTAGGATACATTCAAAAATGTTTGGGGCGTTAAAAAAATACAATGATAATAAATAACCTATATTTATCAATATGGTTAGTGACATTAAATTTAACATAAGTGTTAGATCCATACACCATAGGACTGTGTTATGCTGGAAGCATAAGTGAATAAGAAAAGTTATTAAGGAAGTGATTATTATTAATTTAGTTTTGTGGAGGGTGGTATTAATATTAGTGGCAGTGATAGATTACAAATTATGTATATTGGAACATAAAGAATATAATGAAGAATTACTTCCTCTGTCATTTAAAAAATTCTGTACATATTTCTTACTTATTTTCTTGATGACTTTCAATAATTAAGTGAATAATTAAGTAAATTTGACACTGGTAGTCAGTACATTTGCTCACAACTACGGAGCTTCAAGACAAAATATGAATATTTGCACATGAGAGTTTGTTGGACATAAAGTGAATATATATGAAAAATGATTAACACACAATTTTTAAAAGCATTAAACATTAATCAAGAATATGAAATAAAAAACCATATTTGTATAAATCTCAATAACTGAAGCCACATAGCTAACATTACATTATCTGGAGGTCTGTTACCAACTTTTTCAGGGAAATAATCAAAAATACGTAAGATCAAAAACAGTTACATACTAAAAAATTATCCAATCATGTTGGTGTGGTTTAGTATACGAATATATTTAAATGGTAGTACATGAAGCTGTGTAGATAGGGGTGTATTATAATTAGTATTTCCTAGTAGTATAGATGTTAGAAATTAAATATACAGAGCTGATGACTTTCTTAAAGGGATATGAGGTTAGTAGATTAAGTTAAGTATCTAAGTTAAGGTCAGCCAGTTAGCCTAGAATATTTCTACAGGATGAGGAGAAATGAAGATTGAATAATTTCAAAATCTCTATTGAAAAACAAAGTGAACTGTCATCATACGAAAAAGTGAGAAATTATAAAAATGCAAACTAAAAATATTGTGAGTGGTATACTTAGTTCAAAATTAATGAGTCAGGTTTTATATTTATTTGTTTAAACACATAAACATTGGTACAAGGAGGCACAAAATATGTATGCACCACACTTCGTCATTCGATTTTTGTGAGGGCTGGAATACTACCTGTCAGAACAAACCGAAGTAAGTGGTTTTCTTAGAGGGTCACTCCCCGAGCCTTGGACCTAGAGCTCTAAGGCAGTGGAGAGACGATGACAAAGTAGAAAACATAAAACTATACTCGCAAGATAAGACATTCTGAGAGTAGTTCTGGATATGCATAAATAACATCGAGACAACTGAATGTACGGGTAAACAAACACAATGATTGAAAGTTGAAGCGTTAATCATGTGATGGAATCCAAATAACCTGGATAAGCAGGTGCAATTGGTTACAGCTTGGAAATTTTGGATCAATAAAAATAAACAAAAGCATTTAAAACAATTAATAACGTCAGAAATACAATTTTCTATTCATTTATTATTATTAACATAACAGTTTAGTTTTCTATTAAGATTTGTGGAGACCTTCGAAAGATTTAAAAGCGGTTATTATCATTTGATATATTCCCGACTAAGTTAAAAATATATAATATAATAATGACTGACTTTTTTAATCGGTACATAATGTGGCAAGTCCGTTTTATTTTTACCTATACTCAGTGTTGTGGCAACCAAAAAGATCATCATAAACCTGAATGTAACCTAAAATTTCAATGGTCACTGGAACACCACACACAAATAGACATAGCAACAAATCCCACCGTTTGAACGTATCTTTCATAAGATGAAATGCACTCGTAATATGAACTACAACAAACAATTGCTTTTTTTGATTTTATTGGCTTTTATTCTTTAGGCGAAGCTCAGATACAAGATATAGACGACAATGAGGAATTTGTAATTAGATCACCGGCATACTTTAGAACAGTGACCCGTAGATTAACATATTCGGTTTGGTTAAATAGATTGATATAACTAGTTGGAAATAAAATGACTAAAGTTCACAAACTGTTTACTTTCCGCTAGGTTTTACAACAAAGAGAACCGGACAAACTGAGAGTAATAATCGCTATTCAAGTCGAAATATAGAATTCCCATCGACTACAATCAGAGAATGTTTATACATAACCTCTACGTAAATGCTTTGCCATCAATTAGAACGAATTAATTGTAACTCATGTAATGATTTCAAACTTTTATATTGACATTTGTCAACTATATCAATACAAACGTTCATTGTGTCCTTAGGTTGACCTAGTACGTTTTTCGAGATATTCATAATGTGTTTACTTCTACAACACCGTTTCTACATTATATTCATCCACTCTCTCTTGTTTGAACTGGTAACGCTACTGACCTGAGGAATTAGAATTTTGAAAACCGCATAATTTTATGATTGTTTGTTTATAAGGACAAAGACTTCAGTTTGCAACATTTATCAAGAAACTACTTAGATAAACTTAATGTAAGGTAACTTACTACATAAATCTGAAATATTTCCATCGAACGATTCAAAAGTAGGTTGGAGGTTTAAAAATTTCATTCCTGTTAAACTCCATAATTACTGTTGCTACTTAGGTCTTAATGGAATGTGTGCATATTCTCTCGATCTCAAAGCAAGAAGTGAATGTTATGTAAAGATTAAAGTGAACACACTAGCACACTGAGATCCAAGTACACTCATTTAATTTGAATGAGATGAAGGGATCGCCATGGGACGTAATACCGTGTATCTTCAAATATTATGGTATAGATGCAATTAAGGGTACCTTAGAAACGTTAATATTTAGAAGCGACATACCAAAGAAATTTGAGGAATTTAGTATGGAAAACTGTGTCAAACATTTTTGAGCTTGTTCATTACATAAGCCCTAAGTAGTAAAGCGGTAAAAATAAGAACACTGATTAAGTAATCCAGTAACAGATAAGAACTCGATGATTGTGGTAGGAAGCAGTGGAGTTCGGAATGTAGGTTATAACTTATCCTTTTTCGGATGCGAAAGTTCTTGGTGGGTTTTCTTGGTAGAAAATCAGGGTTTTTGTGCATGATAACTAATTATTGACAATGTTTGTTAGTAAGATATTTCACATTTCCATAAATTGTAATTATTGACCTAAACATATCGACCTGATAGAAATAAATAGATTCGTAGTCTATATACAACTGTTTATCACTCATTATTATATTTATAATCATTAATCTTCTGGGTATAATGTTTTTCACTTTAAAAAGTTTATATTACTGACTAACGGTAAATTGAACATTTCAATAATCTGTCGATTTCTCATTATCATCAGTACTCTGACAATGTCGTCCATATTTCGTCCAAAGTTACTTGCATTTATCTATTTATTAATTATTTGAACACATAGATATTAGTACAAGGAGGCACAAAATACATATGCGCCACACAAATCTCATTTGATTTGTGTGAGTGCTG